CAGTTCTACCACCTGCTGTTTCAGTTCACATCGGTCCACGTGTGACTCAGCGAGCTCATCGTGCAAACGAACCAGTTCATCGGAAAGACCACGTCGATCGGCCGCCAAAGCTTTGTAAGCCTGTTCTTCAGTAACCGGTTGGTCATCCTCCACTTCACAATGACCATCTTCGTCCAGGTCTGAACGACACAAAGAATCGCTTAATGGACTCACGTCTACGTGAATTGGCAATTCACCAATTGATTTGTCCGTTTGGGTTGCGACCTCAATCTGGATTTAAACAGAGTCAGAATGAAGTGTTAGTACCAAAGGGTATGTTAAACACTATTCCGTGCAGTTAATGATACGACGAGAGAAACAATACAATTCTACTGTCTGAGGGTTATCTACAAAGGAATGTATCGTACGTCGTGATCTGTGAATTCTATTGATCGATCCTGTGTATGCAAATGTGTGTAAATGTATACTGCATAATTTGAGTGATTTAGTATGGTGAAAATGGGGCTTATTGAAGAACTCCGGTTCAGGCTGTGGAATTTAGCATAGAGTTCCTCAATACAGGAAGATAACTTCGAAAGGGGGTGTGGCGTAAATTTCAACCGAAAGGTTCGCGCAGTAAATGGTCATTTATCATTGGATGCTTAATTAGTTGTACGGTGACATCTCGCAGTTTGAAAGTCGATGGGCTTTTTTCGACTGAGTATACGAACGCAACCGAGTGACTTGGTCAGATTAAGCCATGCCTCGCCTGGCAATGGCCATATCACTAAACTCTATCAGAAATAGCTTCCCAAGAGTGGAGGCGTCAGTGAAGCAACATAAAACCACGAATAAAACCTACTGCTGTTTACCTTTTCATTATAATCCTTCAACTATTTCAGGTGGATAGGGCCACTATCAATCTTTGGACGGAATTCTGACACTGAAAAAGCCGAGTCTAATGCATCAGTTTTACTATAGTAGTCCGTCATTCGGCAATTTCAATGTGGCTACTTACTGTGTACCCTGAGGGAAATCAACCAACTTAAAAATGGAACGTACTTATTCAAGCTAAACCGACCGGTGGGTAGGACGTGTAAGATCATCATTTCTTCTTTATCCAAGAATAAAAGCAGGCAAGAAAATGGAACTTGATTCTGGGGATATTGCAGACAAAAAAGGTCGATGGTGGCCAGGTGATAAAGGTTACCAAATTATCGCTCTGGGGGCGTGTTCGAATACCACCATCGCCAACGCCGCCGCCTGACTTTCTTCATGCTCTGTGGTATGGCGGCACTTTCAGTGATCGCTTCCCCTTTCTTTGAAATTGTATCGTTATGTATTCAATCAAAGGAAGTAAAACGAACAAGTGCCTCGAATATGAAACACAGTACGTACATGCTCCTCCTTGTTCCGAATTTCCAGCAGTTCCTCCAGCTCACGCAGTCTTTGTGTGGCGTGCTGAAGCATCGTTTTGGATTGATGCATCTCTCTTGTGGATTGTTCCTATAACGAAAATGGTATCAGGCAACGACAGGTTTGGTTAAAAATTGAAAATCCGAAGAGGTCGCATCTACTCTGCTAAAAATTAAAATTGTTCTGCTAAATACCTATGACTTCTTAGGGAACATATAGGTGCATGAGATGTAGCATGAGATCATTACGCCAGTCTGAGTGGTCTCTATTAAACAAGGATTATAAGCTATTTCAAGCTGATGAAATGTATTTTAAAGAGTTGTGTAGTGGTTATCTAAGACTGATGACGTATGACAAGTAACCACATTTCGTTTTTGAAATGTTCATAAAGAAAAATGACGCTCCAACGAGCATTTGGTGGCTTATCGTTTGCAATTATCAACAGATTTATAAGGCCAAAAAATGTGCACAAAAAAAGGACTAAATTCACGCGTAAAACTAAACTAGATATGAACCGTGGCTCACTTGTACTTGATCCAAATTGGCGGTCAGCTGTTGTTTTTCACGTGTCAGCGTCTCGACTTGCCTTTCCAAGTCGACTACCAGTTGACTCTCGATAGAATGTTCTTGCCTCAAAGTCAACAAATGCTTCTGCAATTCAGCAACCGCGTTCTGTTCGGCTGCCAATTGCAGGGCATGATGCTTCGATTGTTCTTGTATTTGAGTCGATAACTTCACCAACTCTTCTTCCTTTTGGAATAGCTCCGTTTTTGCACGGTCAGCAGCCGAACGAAGATCAGTCACTTGAGATTGAAATGAGGATAATTGTTCTGTGATCAATGTCCATACGTCATCTAAATTGGCGGTGAATAACTGACACACTTCATTCAATGTATCTGGCAGGCCTGACCCAATCCCTTTAACTCGATCGAGAATTTCGGCAATTTCCAGTCGAACGTGTGCATCAGTGTTCGACTTGTGAGAGAATTCATCCAAACTCTTTCGATTTATCGTTCGCGCCCAAATGAGTCGACCAACGAGTGTTGCCAACTCGGTTTGCCACTGTGTCAAGGCAGTGCGTGCCTGGTCTGCCGCTTGATCACTTAATTCACTCTGTGTGGCAGTCGAAGCCAAGTCGTCGGTGAGTTGTCGCAAGCGCTCAGTCAACTGAGCAACCTCTTCTTCACGTTTGTGCAATTGAACAGACATCTCCTCCAGTTGGTCCTGCAGGAGAATGAAAAGAATCACAATAAGGAGCGAAAGAGACAAATTCTACAAATTCCTAGCACCCATGAGCATTGTGCAGAGTGTTTGAACTGCTGTGTGCAGCAAAGTTAATCTACATGTGCAGGGGGCGATTAGGCGGTTGTGTGTGGTCGCATGGATGGTCTTCAACACAAAGCAGAAATGGGCCTAAAAACAACGGATAACGATCAAATACCCGTATGGTATCAGCTGTTCTTCAAGACGGAAGTCTGAGGTTCGGTCAAAACTGAGCATTTAGGACAAAGGGTGGGACAAAAAAGAGGAATACTAAGCGATGAATGAAACAATAAAAAACCTTTAATTTACAACAGATGGTAGCGTACTCCGGTGATGCGAATTCCTCAGTGGAATTATCAAACAGAAAAAATGTCGCAGAGATATTGCCAACAGGTAAATACAGTTTGCAGCTGCTTGCCCATGGTTTGTTTCACCTAATCGATGTAAAATGTGAGCCCGGTATATCTTTCGTGAATATGAAGGATCTGCAACCGGAGAGAGCATAGGAGATTCGGATACAAGTTCCCTTACCACATAACAAACCGCTTTCCGAAGATATAAATCCCGAACAGGATCCAACATAACTGTGACCGGTGGTTTGACAAATCATTTAAAGCCTGGGCTATTTTGCTCAATTCAGCTCAGTTAGTTCGACCATTAACCATGCACTTTCGTACGCCGGTTTTGGTTTCTGTCTTCTGGATGCCCATTTGGATAAAAAAGCAGAATGAAGCTTATAGCGTTGAGGGCAAAATCAAGCGAATGATAGCGAATTTATATAGACTGAAGTTACAAGAATACTGAATAGATGCACGAGTGCCACTGATTGCGACATCCAGCCATATCACTGAGTGTCTCTAATCATCAAATCAAACAAAAGATGACGTTCTGTCATTGACAATTTCCGAACACCGATTTTCATGAGCGAGTGCATTTTATCAGCTTGTGTTTCGGATGAAAAAACTCAATTTACTAACTGAAACGGTTGTTACCACTTGTATGGGGCGATCGGCAGAAGATCTTCTGGAACAATCAATGACAGGAGGAATCAACGTGTTATATTTCACTGGATAACAACAGACGACCTAGAGCACTCCATCATTCAATTCGGTGAACGAGATAGTTCCCGAAGCTTCCGAATGATGCATGCCTGTCAGTTCAGTACGATACATCCATTTTTCTGAGGAAACTAACCAATGATGAAAGGAGTTGGGAATGTTGGATTTCACCAAGCACTGATTCGCATTGACGTAAGGCGATACCGCATATCTGGAATTTCATTGATGGTATAGGTCCACATTGAATGGAGACAGGTTAGTAATGTCTCTCTCTTTCTCATTTGCCACTTACATAACTCAAACTAACCGATGAACAGACAAGAATAAGGAAGAAAAATAAGGCGGTCGATGAAAACGAAAACTTAGTTATTACCGTAATTCCCAATGGATAAACGGATACGACTGCAGTTTGATCATTGCACTCAAAAAAGACAACTGGCAGGAAATTACCTTCAACCTAGATGATTCCAAATGAGAGGCACGAAGTTCGCTTTCTAACACTGAACCTAGATTTTCTCCGTCACGCAACGGAATGGCATCGGACTTCGTCTTCGAGCTGACTGAAGCTATGGAAGTTGACAGGAGAAAAAGCATGAGAAAACGTTACACGATACATTTTGATCATATCTAAAAATAAGTTTTCAACGGTGCAATAATAGTAGGTAAACCTGACTCACGACAATGGGACAATAGTTGGAGAATTCTCTTTATTTGGCTAGCTGGGCTTTTGATTTGCGCAGCGTATACCTCAGCCTGAAACCGATATGATGAATTGATTAGTGCTGGTCAATGCGGGTAGCTCAGTGGTCGGATAGTCGATTTGCACAGAATGAGACGTCCGCAAAAACCTGCTCTTTTCAATAAAACCTGAGCGATGACTAAGCCTTTGTACTATGTTATTACTCATCGCTGACTGGACTGGTCAGTGATACGAAAAAGAACCCTTGGAGATACTGGTATAGCACAAGTTCATTTCAATAGGACAGCAAATGCACTCAGTGATCATCAGATGTCATTTGACTTTACATTGGGAAAACGGACAGATCCGGGTAAAGCGCACTAGTCTACGGAAAAGCGTATGTACAAGCAAAGACTCAAATCATATGGATCGGAATAATATGTTTGAACCATCATGTTTATCCGATTGACGACTGCAACGGACGAATATAAGGCGACAAGGTTGAACAAGATCTAACAAACGCTTGACCTTCATGTGTTGGGCAGCGATAAGCACGAGATCTGAGTTACCTCAATCGGTGGTATTTGA